GCGAGTTCTTAGATATGTCGACAAAGATCTCGTGAGTATAGTTCAACGAATAATTAAGACTTCATTAGTGTGGCCTCATTTTCGCGATGCCATGTTGAACGAATTTTGGTTAGGCGATACAGTAACAACAATTGAGGACTTGAGGAATGTAGAGCGAGATGCATATGTAGTAAAGGAAAAGTTTCTGGCTGAATTTGAACAGGTAGCTCGTCGAATTCAGGGGTTGACAAATAGACAAAAGTGTCTTGCTTTTCTTGAGAAATTTTCTGAAGGGGAGCTGTGTTTGCTTACCCGAGGAGAAAGCAGTAAATTCAATTGGGAAAGAATTCGGTCAAATTTTATTGTCCGAGAATTTAGTCGAATATTTGACCAGACTCTTCGATTACAGCTTCGCTTACAAAAAATTGAGAAAGAGTATTGAGTTGACAAGCGAAAGAGAAATTCAGATCTTGTGACAAATCTCTCAGAAATAAGAGGAATACTGGAAAAAGAAAAGGACGATTGTAGTCATGAGTATCAGAAAACAAGGATAGAACGTCCTTTGGAGGACGAATGTGAGCGAGATAAGGACAATGAGGGAGATCAGTTGGATAATTCTTCAATGTCAACTACTCAAGATTGCGAGTCAGCGTCTCGAAATGAACGAGACCAGCGAGTAAAGAAAGGGAGATCCTATTGGAAGAATATTACCTGTAAGAGATGTGGTAGTACCGGACACACTCCAAGTAGATGCAAGGGATAGACGGTTAAAAAAAAATAGATTGTCGAAATTATGATTTCAATTCGTGAGTTGATTATGAACTCAAAACACTTTTTTGTGAGATTAATTACATCAACTCAAGGTTGAACACGAGAATTCTGTCAGATTTGATATGTTCATTCTATTATCTATTTAAAAATTATCCGATCAGTTTATTATGGAAGAAGAATATACGGTAAGGATCACTATGAAATTCCATGTGAAAGCATTTGTTTTGTTGTTGTGAGTATTTGGTTGAATGTAAGTTGTTGAGAAATTGTGAATTTGTAGGTAGTCGACTATGGTTGCTGCGAGGGGAAAAGTGGCTACCTCTCCTTGTGTCAGGCATAATCACTGTGCCCCTATAACCAGGGTCTAGCCAGCCTTGGTTGTAGAAGGTAAGGTTGTTCTACTCTACATGTGACAGATTAATGAATGGAGGCACTGAAATTTGGATGGATTGTGAAGAAGTTTGAATCGCAATCAAGACCTGGTCCCAATTGGATCTCATTTATTTTAGGATGAATATTATGAAATGTTATGGCGACTACTGAGGAATGATTATCAAAAAGAGGATTGACTCCCATCAGCAGATTGGGGAGTGGCTTCCATCAACAACTGGGGACTTGTTCCCATCAGTAGACTGGGAGGTCATTCCCATCAGCAACAGGGGAGTCATTTCCATATTGATGGAATGAAATACCCACAGGGGGTTAAGCCTGTGAAAGACCATGAATTGACTCCCATCAGCAGACTGGGGAGTGGCTTCCACCAGCAACTGGGGACTTGTTCCCATCAGTAGACAGGGAGGTCATTCCCATCAGCAACCTGGAAGTCATTTCCATATTGATGGAATGAGAGACCCACAGGGGGTTAAGCCTGTGAAAGACCATGGATTGACTCCCATCAGTAGACTGGGAGTGACTTCCATCAACTACTGGGGACTTGTTCCCATCAGTGGACTGGGAGGTGATTCCCATCAGCAACTGGGGAGTTATTTCCATATTGGATGGAATGAAAGACCTGCAGGGGGTTAAGCCTGTGAAAGACCTATAACAGGATGATCTCACAACTCGATTTTATTAGTGGACTGGGGAGCGGTTCCCATAAGTAGACTGGGGAGTGGCTTCCATCAGCAACTGGGGACTTGTTCCCATCGGTAAACTGGGAGGTCATTCCCATCAGCAATTGGGGAGTCGTTCCCATCAGAAAGCTGGAAAGTAATTCCCATCAGTACACAGTGGATTGGTTCCCATCAGCAGACTGGGGAGTGACTTCCATCAGCAACTTGGGACTCGTTCTCATCAATGGACTGGGAGGTTAATCCCATCAGCAACTGGGGAATCATTCCTATCAATAAATTGGGGAATAGTTCTGTGACAAGGAACTTGTCTTAATCAGAACGTTCGTTGAATTGAAAAATTGTTTGAGTTGTGATGTGACTGTTTCATTTTCAGAGACCTGCAAGGGGATGATCCTGTGAAAGGACCTGCAGGGGGATGATCCTGTCAAAAGACCTACAGGGGAATGATCTTGTCAAATGAGTGAATTGTAAGACTTCTGAAGATTAAACTCCAGTTTTATTGTTGAATGTTGATGTGAGAATTTCAGTTGTGTTCCGAATGTTTCTTGAATTGTTCAGTATCGTAAGTGTTGCTTTCACATGGGAATTTCGTAAGAATCCTAATTTCTGTGTGGATAGCGAACGACAAAGAGTGTCATTCGTTATGTTGGTAAAAACTCTCCGGCTTCGTTCTGAATGGTTTCTTGATTGATTATACGTAGTATCTATTAAAGTCTTATGAAGTTTCTATTATTATCTTGATGTAGAGCGACGGAAACGTCGCTTAGTAAAGACCATTTATAGGTGATGAAGTTTAAACTATCGAGGGAATGATGAAACGGTATTCACCAATTCGTGGTAGCTGAGGCAGATCCCAGGGCTCGATCCCTAGTTCCCCAACTTACCTGTGTACAATACCTGCGTCAACTCGAAGA